CACCCCTGGCTTTTTAAAATTTTTATTTTGAGATAGGGTCTGGCCAAGTTGTCCAGGCTGATCTTAAATTTGTGATCTTCCTGCCTCCCCTCTCAAGTAGCTGTGATTGCAAGGCACACACCATTGCACCTGATTTACTCTCAATTTTTTATTCAGTTCAATAACCTTTTTGTTTTATCCTCTCCCCAGAATAAACTTCCAGTCTTGGTTTGAGGCAGAATATTTAAAAGTTCAAATTTCCTCCGAAAATCAATCAATCTCTCTTTCTCTCTCTCTTTCTCTCTCATTGTAGATGGACACAATACCTTTATATTATTTCTTTTTATGTGGTGCTGAAGATCAAACCCAGTGCTATGGACTTGGGAATATAGCTCATTAGGTGAGTACAGTAGCTACACTTGGCTTGTATTACCATGCCCAGCTCAACCCACCATTTTTAACTGGAAGTTCTCTATAAATCACATTAAAAACAATTTTTATTTTTTCTTCAAAATAAAGTCCCAATTGCCGGGTGTGATGGTACATACCTGTCATCCAGCAACTCAGGAAGCTGAGGCAGGAGAATCACAGGTTTGAGGCCAGCTTCAGCAACTTAGCAAGGCCTTAGCAGCTTAGTGAGACCCTGTCTCAAAATAACAAAAAGGGCTAGGGTTGTGGCTCAGTGGTTAATCATTCCTGGGTTCAATCCCCAATACTAAAATAAAAATATGAAGTCCCATCTGTGTTCCCCACCCCTCATCTTTTTTTCGATGGAACCCAGGGCCTCCCATATGTTAGGCAAATGCTCTACCATTGAGGTATACCTCAACTCTGTTTTCATTTGCTATGAAATCTTGTTTTCTATTTTAAGTCTATAAATTTTGTGTGAACTCTTTTCCTAGTTCTAATTATGATTATTCCATGATTACTTTATTCATTCATTCATTAAAAAGCTAATTTTGGACACTTAGTCTGAATCAGATGGATTCTATTGAATGTATTGGAAATACAAGACAGAAAAGGTCACATGGAACTTGCATATTCTGAATAAAAAATATAAATAAATAAGAACTTTAGTAATTTTATTTTATTTTTATGTAATTTTTAAATATATGACAGCAGAATGCATTACAATTCTTATAACATATATAGAGCACAATTTTTCATATCTCTGGTTGTATACATAGTATATTCACACCAATTCATGTCTTCATACATGTACTTTGGATAGAAATGATCATCACATTCCATCATCATTAATTATCCCATTACCCCCCTTCCCCAAGAACTTTAGTTTTTTAAATAAATATTTAATTTTTAGTTTTTTTTTTAGGTGGACACAATATCTTTATTTTATTTTAATGTGGTGCTGAGAATCGAACCCAGTGCCTCACGCTTGCTAGGTGAGTGCGCTACCACTTGAGCCACAACCCCAGCCCCTAAATCTTCTTCTTCTTCTTCTTTTTTTTTTTAAATTAGAAATTGAACCCAGTGGTGCTTTACCAGTGACTTACATCCCTAGCCCTTATTATTTTTTATTTTGAGACGGGGTATTACTAAGTTACCTAAGGCCTTGCTAAATTGCTTTGAACTTGCAATCCTGCCTAAGCATCCCCAGTTGCTGGGATTACAGGCATGTTAAGCCAGAACTTTAGCTTTTGATAAGTACCATTAAAGAAATACACAAGGGGAGGCTAATTTCAATTACATGGTCAGGGAAGACCTCTTTGATTAGTGAGGCTGGCTTTGAATTTTCTTTTATTTATTTATTTAGTTAGTTATAGGTGGACACAATGTCTTTATTTTACTTTATGTGGTGCTGAGAATTGAACTCAGTGTCTCATGCATGCTGGGTGAGCACTCTACCTCTGAGCCACAACCCCAGCCCTGGCTTTAAATTTTCAATCCTTGGGGCTGGGAATGTGGCTCAGGTGTAGCACGCTCGTCTGGCATGCATGCGGCCTGGGTTCAATCCTCAGCACCACATACCATCAAAGATGTTGTGTCCGTCGAGAACTAAAAAAAAAATAAATATTAAAAATTCTCTCTCTCTCTCTCTCTCTCTCTCTCTCTCTCTCTCTCCCCTCTCTCACTCTATCTTTAAAAAAATAAATAAATAAATAAACATAAATTTTCAATCCTCCTGCCTCAGCCTCCAGGTCATTGGGGTTAACATGCCTGGCCAGGAAAGATCACTTTGGGAAGTAGCATTTGGAATGAGAACAATGTACAGGAACTAGTTATTGGAGAGTCTTGGAAGAAGAGTTTTCTAGGTAAAGAGATCACAGGTACAAAGACCCCTCAACATGAGAAATTACTTGGGTATTCTGAGGAAAATAAAGGAAACCAGTGTGAAGGGGAGTAATATAATATGAATTTGGAGACATGAATTGGAAACAGATCATGTAGGACCTTGTAGGTAATGATAAGCACCTCAAAATGTCTTTCAAGAGCAATGTCAATCTATTCAAGAGAATGATATGAACTGATTTACATTTTTAAAAAATATTCTTATTTGTCAATGGGCCTTTATTTCACTTATTTATATGTGGTGCTAAGAATCGAACCCAGTGCCTCACCCATGCTAGGTAAGTGCTCTACCACTGAGCCAAACCCCAGCCTCCTGATTTACATTTTAAGAAGAATTTTTTCACTAGGCTCCGTGGTTCACGCCTGTAATMCAAGCATCCAGGAGACTGAGGAGGATTAGGAATTCAAAACTAGCCTCAGCAAAAGCAAGACAATAAGCAACTCAGTGAGACCCTGTCTCTAAAATACAAAATAGGGATGGGGATGCAGCTCAGTGGGCAAGTGCCCCTCAGTTGTTCAATCCCTGGTACCAAAAAAAAAAAAAAAAAAAAAAAAAGAAAGAAAGAAAAGAAAAATATTTTTTTCTGGAGAGTTAAACAGACCAGAGTATATTCAGTAGTGCAGGTGAGACATAACTGTTGCTAGGCTTGATTGAGAATGATGGTATTAAGATGGAAAGTAGTGGGTAGATTTAAAATAATGGCTGGTATATAATATATGATGGACAAAGCCCTGGGTTCAACCCCCAGTACCAAAAAAAGAAAAGTTCTCTTCAGACTGCGTTCCTTGCTGGATGTGGTGATACCTTGCCATAATCCCAGTGACTGCTGAGGCTGAGGCAGGAGGATCCCAAGTTCAAGGCCAGCCTTAGGAACTTAGACCTTATTTCAAAATAAAAAGAAAGGGGGTGCTGGGTGTGTAGCTCAGTGATAGAGTGCCCCTCCAGTACCTCTCCTCCAGAACAAAGACTGAGTTCCTCAAAGGTAGAGACTCTTTATGTTGTCCCTAGGATATAGCCCAAAACCTTGCACATCATAGGTGCTCAGAGTATAATAGTTTATTTTATTTTTTTATTTTTATTTTTTTAAAGAGAGAGTGAGAGAGGAGAGAGAGTGAGAGAGGAAAGAGAGTGAGTGAGAGAGAATTACACAACATCTTTGTTGGTCTGTGGTGCTAAGGATCGAACCGGGCCGCACGCATGCCAGGCGAGCGCGCTACCGCTTGAGCCACATCCCCAGCCCCAGAGTATAATAGTTTAATGGATAAATGAGTCATAAAGGTAACTGGAATGGATTTCTCAGGCCCTAGCCCTGGCTGCAAGGACTCTGGAGAAATCTCCCCCGCTCTCACTCTAACCCTCCAGTCACCATGATATCAGATTGTGGTAGCCATTTAATGAGTGCTTACTATGCATCAGGCACAGTGCTAATCACCTCTAATTTTCACAATATCCTTAAGTGGTGGATCCTAAAATTGTTCTTTTTGCATTTAAAATTTTTAATTTAATTTCTAAATTGTTGTTGGAGACTTTAATTAATTAATTAATTAATATATGGTGCTGAGAATCGAACCCAGAGCCTCACACATGCCAGGCAAGTGCGCTACCTCTGAGCCCCAGCCCCAGCCCCCTTACATTTAATGTTAAAAGCTTACATGATGTGGCTCAGGTCAGCCAGATAATATTAGGAGAGTCCAGGTCCCCCCGCTCACCCCACCACCCCATACACACAGACACTTTTTTTTGGTACTGAGAATTGAACTCGGGAGCACTGGACCACTGAGCCACATCCCCAGCCCCATTTTGTATTTCATTTAGACAGGGTCTATTTAGCGCCTCACTTTTGAGTCTGGCTTTGAACTTGTGATCCCAGTCTCCAGAGCGGCTGGGATTACAGGCGTGCGCCACCATGCCTTGGCTTCCAGGTCTCTTGACCACAGGAATTGTCATTTTCGGGTCTGGTTCTAGTCTCCAAAGATTTCAACCTGCCTGGATCTTGAGAGATTGTAATAAAAATTCTCCTGAGGTATCTTTCCCGCTTAATGTGCCTGAACCTGGAAGCTAAAAAAACTCCCTGTTCTGATCATTGTAGGCTGTGCCTGGTGAAAGGCAATAGATGATGCTCCAGGAGTGCAGCCTTTTTCAGCCAGCCAGTTATTTTTCACTCAGCCAGCTGTAGAAAATGAGGTACCCAGCTTTTCACAACCAATTTGTCTTGCAACTTTCTGAGCTGGTCAACCTTTCTTGAACTTTGGTTTCTTTTTCTATGAAATGGCTGATAACACTGATCTCATTAGTATTTTAGTTGTTACGATTGAATATGACGGCTAATAGCATTCAAACACAGTAAACCCAATGTAGTTGAAACTGAGACTGCAGCCCCGACCGACGGGTCTCATCTGAGTTGAAGTAGTCGGATTTGAAGTCTGGGTAGGGCCTAAAACGACGGCACAAGCGGATTGGGTCACCTAAAGGGGGCGTGTCCGGAAGGAGGAGCCAGTCTCATCCTGCCGCAGCCCAGAACTTTGAATCAGGCGCGGTAGTTTCAGCTGTAGCCAATCCTAGAACAGCATCCTCTTCCGTCAGTAGTTGCTGAGGTCCAGAGCCACGCGTCTCTCACGGAGGTCAGTTCCAGCCGTTACTGCTRGACCCGTGCTCAGCTCTTGCGTGTTTATCCGTTAAGATTGAGAGGACGGAGAGACACTCTCAGTCGCTTTCTCGGGTATCGGGGCCAGAAGGAGAGCCTCCGCTACTCGCTCCACACATGCAGAGCAGCTCCGGCTTCACTTTCTGTAGAAGCTGCAGGCTGACACCTTGTCAGGAGTTGTAGTATCAAGATTCTGGTTCTTCTTACGCTACTTATTATAGAAGCAGGAAGTTGATTTTTTGAGGGAAAGTGGGCTAGGGAGGGAAGTTATCCCACAGAGTCATACTGAGAGGGTGGGGGTGCCCTTGATATCGAAAGGGGTTGAGTCCTGGCCCTTTAAACCTGGGGAGGAGGATCCGGAAGTGGGTGGGCGGGGCAAGGGCCATGGTATATAGGAGGGCCCCAGCCGCGAGGGGTCCCTAATCTGCCATTTTCTGTCCCCTAATAAGTCTCTGGCGTCCAAAATTCCCTCTGTTTTCCTCACAGGTTCCATTCCGCTCACAGGTCCACCACTTGAGGGGAACGATGGCCACAGAGTCCACAGCCACTGCTGCCATCGCCGCGGAACTGGTTTCCGCCGACAAGTAAGCGGGACCATGGCGCGCTTGAGGCACTGGCCATTCCGCGGTAGAGCTGGTGGATGGGGGCTCTGTAGGAGGATATACCAGTGGGAGGGAAGACTGGTTCCCCCCGACCTGCCGGCGTTCAGCGAGGCCTGAACAGTGTAGAACCCCCGCTTTTGCTAAGAGCCCGCTCACTAGCGGTAACGGCTGGTGGCTGGCGCCCCCTGCCCTGCTTTTTGCGGCCGCCATCTTGCCGGGGGCAGCGGCGGCTGTCTCCATCGTCTGCCCCTCTCCTTCCTCCCTTGGCTCAGGGCTGCTGGTGAGGAGGCGGGGCCCTGGCGCGCTGGTCTGCCCTCACATTCCTACTGACACCTCAGTCTAAGCGTGTTCCCTCCTGTAGTGCCCCTAGACAACCCGAGAATGTAACCAATAGATTTGGCGCCAAAAAAAAAAAAAACACCTTTGCACGAGGAGGCTGAACCCCAGGGGTCGGATGGGCGGGGCCTCGTGGAGGGCGGGGCCTGACGCGCGTGCGTTCGCTTCCCTCCGCCGGCTCTGGAGCAGGGGGCGGAGCCTTGAGGAGGCGGGAAAACTCCATTGTTTGGGGCTACAGTGGCTGGAGCCTTAGACTTCCGTGGTGGCTCGCGGGAGGGCTTCCGGCTAGCGGGCTTTCTCACCTGGTGCGCTGAAGAGTACTGAGGGACCGATACTCGGCGCACCCCAGCCCCTGATGGGAACGTCGTGGTTCTTTAGACTTTGGAGGTGTGGGCAGAGAGTTGGCTTCTTAGGAGACATCCGAATGCGTAGCGGCTTCACCTGGTGATGGGTCGAGCTCCTCATTTCTCAGGGTTTAGTTGCCAAGTGAATAGGCCGTACGCAAGTACGACTGGAGGGAGAAAAGGTATAATTTCTTTGAAAAGGCATAGTGCCACAAAAGCATAAGCTATTTTGTAACCAGTGGACAGAAGTGCCACATCAGTTCAAGAAACAAATGTTTTCCAAACAGTAGGTCCTGATTTCCTCTGGTGTTAGTAGCCTGAGTGTTTTTTTTTTTTTTTT